ACCACTCCTGTAAACCTCGTTTCACGAGGCATAAGGGATCGGTCGGCAAAGGCTTCCCTTGTTGACCGATCCGCGTCTAGACTCCCGCACTGTGCCGGATCAACTGATTGTCGGCACAGTGTGGCGGCCATTTTTATTTTAATGAAGCGGGGATTATTTAAATCCCCGCTTCACTGACTATGTTGGGAAAGCTAGTTTACATGGCTCCGTCGACAGAGCCATGTAGTCTAGACATACCCTCTGACAGAGAGAAATCACCCTGGTGCTTGCATCAGAGGCTGCCCCTATAGTTTTTAACCTCTGTAATTCCAGAACAGCTGCAGTACTATGCTACCGCCAGCGGGGGAGCTGCTGAGCACTGTACCCACAAGCCCAAGCGATTGTTGTATGAGAATTAAAAAGGCAGTGCATGCACTGAATGGATGCAATCAGCAGAGAAGGCAAAATTCTGATATACAGAGATATGTTTGCAAAATATTTACAACTCCCAGATCCACTAATGGGAGCTATTGGCTCAAAAACACACCAACTGAAACAACCATTAACCATAAGGAGAGAAAGTTCTGCTGGGGGCAAAGCCTGAAGTCCTCACACTCTGATCAAGCCAACTCATTCATTAAGTCACTCACATGTGCAGTCTCATTGGCTTTGACAGGACTAGTCACATGAGTGAAGTTACTCTTGGGTGCAGTAGCGATGTGCTGGATCAGGGCCCTTATTCTTACTCACTGAAGTCAATGGAAATTTCATCTGAGTAGGGATAACATCATCAGGGCTTTGCATAGAGGAACATTCCTTCTCTAATGAAATGTACACCTGGACTTTAGTGTTGCATGCAAAGCTGGTAGAAGTAACAAATAAGTCTGTAAAATACATCAAAAACCATACTTTATTTTATGTATAGCAATACAATTTACATATTAAATAACACTATAATAGAATGATTTGATATAGTTTTAAACATAACAAAAAGGAGATTTTCAAGTTACCAAAAATCCCAAACCCAAAACAAACAACCCCCCCTTAAAATAAAAAACAAAATTAAAAGCAAACAAAAAATAATTTCCCTAAACCAAACATCAATTCTCTCCCTCCCACAATGAATCAATGAAACAAATTTCTCCAATGGCTGGCTAAATCTAATTCCTATTGCACACACTTTGACAATGGAATTGAAAGAAAATCCAACGTTCACAATCACTGCCTCCCCAAAAATTATGTGTGTTGAATTCTTTTTGGAATGTGATGATTGTGTTTCACTATTTCAATACACAGAAAATATGTATTCACATGTCCACCACAAAAAAAAACTATGAGGGAGTTGAAACTAGAAAAAAATTAGCTTTATATGAAAATATAAAATTCTATGATTATATACCATAGATACAAAGTTCCCAGAAGATGCTTACCCAAGCAACAAAATATTTACAGTTTTAATGCTTTCTGCTATTTAAAAATGAAGGAAAAGGAAATGTGAGTAGACATGAATGCTTAGTTCTTTAGAAACAATGGCTGCTAGCTAGTTTCAAATGTTCTAACAAAACAAACAAAAAGAGTCACTACCCCAAATGTTGGAGAGTTGTGACATTTTATAAAATTGACTATCTCCTCTTTTGGAGACATGTTTTTTCTTAAAACTCAAGACTTTTTTTTTAAATTATCATCTGTAGAAAATGCTTCCCGTTGCAAATATTTAACAAAAATACTAAAAACAGTTTAACAGCAAAGATAAAGTAGAGGCCAAATCTCTTCATTACTGTTCCTTCTCTTTCTCACTCCATTTTGTGTTTCTTCTCCTTAGCTATGCAAAGCCAATGCAGTTTACATTGTCAGAATGGCAACAAAGAGAAAGTGGGGGAAATTAAAGCCATGTAGTAGACTAACAATTACGCCTTTTTGCCTTCATATAAAAATTCACTGGCACCATTTGAACATAAACTGCAGAACACAGAAGTTGATGGCAGAAGAGAATGAATTTGAGAGCATGACGGCTAAATATTTTAAGATTCCTACATTTTATTATTTTTTCTTTAAGTTTTTGCTGACAATTAGTAATATGCATCTTTGGTAAAACTGATATCTATATTTTAACTTTTAAACAAAACTCATCTGTTTAAAAAACAGAAAAGGATTTACAACCAGGCAGTTGGGCTGTGTCATTAAAAATGTTGTTTTTCTAGTGTTCCAGTACGTCACTCTGGGCTGAAGCAATTCAAGCAGTCATATCTGAAGAAGAACTGAAACCTTGCTGATCCAATAAGTAAAGCCAGAAACACAGAATGGATCCACAATAGAGGAATAAAAGACCAGAATCAAACATAAAAAATAAACTTTAGCCTTTTTTTGTTTCCAAAATTCATATTTAGAAACAGACATTCTGAAATGCTGAGGACAAATGCTGCTTTAGAATGAAAGTTATTTAGCCCTGGGCCCTGCAAACACTCAATGTGCTCCACTGTACACTTGCGAGAACTGTCACTGACTTGACCAGACCTACTCCCCTGTGTAAAGTTTAACATACAGGTAAGTGCTTGAAGGATCAGGGGTTCTGGTGAACACCACTGATTTTTGGATGTTGTTAATAGACAGCAGCTTTTTCCGAAATTCTTGGTCAGTACTAAGGACTCAGTTCATCAGTGCTCTTCACTCACATGGTCTCCCAGCTGAACACACTTATAAAACATGGGGAACTATTTTCTAAAAAGCATATGTGCGTGCACTCACACAAACATCCCCATAGACACAGAGTTGTTTGCCATCCATTATTCCCCTTTCCCTCTGAGCGCAAGTGGTGAAGACCATAGCTTACAGCCAAGTAATGATTAAATTGTTCCTAATTCGCAGACTTGCACATCCTTTGAGAATTTCCAATGTTTGAAAGATATCACAACTCCACTGTAATAACGATTGAAATGTCATCACAATGCAGATAGGGACAGAGTGGTGACAGCAAAGATCTGTCAACTTGTTGCTCTGCACGTGTGGGATTTGCCGTTGGCGTGACAGACCAATGCCGGCATCTCATCATACCTCGGTAAGTAAGGATCTATTAACATATGTTCAGTCACATGCAGCCCCAGGTGCAAATCTTGTTAAGTCGGTAGAATAGCAGCTGTTTACAGTGGGGTCAATTTGGCCCATGCACTCTTAATCCTGACCATCACATGAAACTCCTAGCTCTACCCATCCTCCTAGCCAACAGGACACTATCATCCTTCTGGTTACTTACTTCACAGTTTTCTTGATTCTCATGAGAAAAAAAAATCCAGGGAAAAGTCAAGACATCTGTCTGAGATATTTCCCCATGGATTAAGACCTGTGTTAGTATTTCAGATATGGGAAAATGCTAATACAAATGCAGGGGTTTCAAAACCATCCACCACAATTCAACTCTGTTCCCACAGCTCATTGGACTTAGAAAAAAAAAGTGGTACAAATGTAAGGAATCATCCTAAGGAAAGTCATGCAGTGTATCATTAAAACAGCCCACTTCCACTGAGCTGCTACTTCCCCCAAAATGCAGAGTAACTGATTTCGAAATGGATTGAACAAATTCAGCTCTCTAAATACCTCTGTTAATTTGCAAGCCATTCTGTTCTTGTCAGGATTTGAATTATATTCCCCCTAGGAACTCAGATCTTTCAGATGTGAGCTGATCAAATCCAGTTCTGTGCCAAGAGTTAGAATTTCCTGGGGCAGCAGCCACTGCCAGCAGTGGGTGCATTGAAGGCTCTGGCATCAGCCCAGACTGGCAAATTAATGTCATTTGGAAGCCGCTTCAGCCCCAGCCCCCAGTGCAGACAGCAATGCTTGAAATGTGCTTGTAGGACTCCTGCTATTGAAGCAATCGGAAAGCCAATCTGAACTCTTAGGCCACCTCTCCACTTATCGTGCCGGAGACTGATCTTCTGGTGTTAGACCCGCTAAATCGAATGCTGAGGAGACCCTTAGTCAGCGCTTGTATGCCTCCATTTGTGAGGAGTAAGAGAAGCCATCGGGAGCAAATCTCCCTCTGCAAACAGGGTGCCAAGCTCAGCTTAAGGTATGTCGAGTCCAGCTACCTTATTTATGTAGTTGGAGTTGCATACCTTAAGGCAACCTTCTGGGTCTACTATAGACCTGGCCTTAGTGTATTAAACTGGCTGACCTTGGAGTGCCGAGCTGCCTAACTCTAACTATTGATGGTCCCACCAAAGCGTCATTTTGAGACCTCTTGACATTTTTTTATTGGAATTAGTTCCTTGCTGCTGGACATGGGATTTTCTGATAGAAAACACAAAGGTATTATTCATCGCTGTGAGCATCAGCAGTTATTTTGGACCACTAGTATCAAAAGGTTAAATACATTCAGATCAAATCAAGGTAAATGACATAGTTGTTATTGGGTGAAATCTTTCAAAGGCTCAGAAGTCTGGATTAACCAGGGCGGTCGCTATGAAGTGATCTCTCCATCACTACAGATAACAGGCCAGCTGCTCAGCCTGTGTGACGGAGCAGAGCTTCATTCATTTCAGTGAAGCTACACTGATTTACCCCAACTAACGATCGGGTCCCGTATATCTACTCTTAACATTATTTAAAAGTTCACTTTAAATGTCCTTTTGAATGCAAATGCACAGAATCACTAGCTTATCTCTAACCCTCCAGAAATCCAAATTAATAATTCAACGAAAGAAGTGGGGTTGCCTGGCAGATGCTTACATCCTAACAAGGGAATATTGGAAGCAGAGAAAAAAACAACATGGTTTTACATTTAAGTGAACAATATGCTGTAATATTTTGACAGCAAGTCCTGAAACAATACAGTGCCCTTTTTGTTTGATTGAAATTTAAAACTAATGAAAATAAACCTCTCTATAAGGGAGTATGCCTTTACATCTACACTAAACAGCTGAACTGTCAAATTAACATATCCAGTTTTAGAGCAAATCATACCTATTTAGCAAAGCTGTTAGGGATGTGCTTAGCTTTACGCAGGTACTTAAGGGTTTTGCTAGATAAGGTTGGACTTAAGTACTCTGCACAGGATTAGGGAACCAATGAGGGAATTACACCTAAATGCTCAAGATAACAACACTGTTTAAATAAATTAATTTGGGAAAAATTTTGGATTTATGTGGGAGGGAGAATGGAATCAAAAGGTTTGTACTAAATAATTAGCTTGGCAAAAAAATAAGAGGAAGAATGTACTTTTATAGGTAGTTATTTTTATTAGTTTGCTTCACCAGTAAATATGGATCAGTACTTTATGTTTTAGCACTAAAATATGAAAATTACACACCTGTAAAAATGGCATCTAACAGTTATGAAATTAAGAAACGTCTGTCTTCGCCATGTGACATACCAGTAGGTGTGAGGTCCTGTTCAAGAAATAGTAAGGAAATTAATGTGTTTAAAATATTGAATTGTTTAGTAATGTAAAATATTGTTACCTTTGTGTATCTGAAAACAGACCTTTTTTAGATTGTAGCACAGTTTTCGTTGAATTTGCTATGATGAAAATGAAAAATAAAACACTTTCCCATATGGCGGTTTTAAAACCTAAAACTGACATTTTTACTCTGAATAATTGGGGAAACTTTGAAGATGTAGTGTGACCATGTCGCAGGTCTGAGTTGTTCTGTGCATTTTTTTAATGTAATTTTATATGTTCTACGGAAAGCAATGCTTAGGCCTCAAAATATACAAAAGCAGAATCTGAAACAATACAAAAGCAATTGTTTCAGCTCTGTGAGGCTATTATACCTTCACCGTTGCTAGTAATCACCTGCCACATTGTATCAAGAAAAGATGACTATTGCTTATCCAATGAACTGGAATACAGAAAACCTACAACAATTAAAATGAAAGCAATAAACATTAGGTGTCTGAAGGGGTGCAGTATTTTTTGTAGAAAGAATCCATCTGGTCTAGCATTCAGGATTTAAGATTCAAGGGCCACTATCATTAACAAAACTTCACTGCATTTAAACTAAAAAGTAGCATGTTTGTTGTCATGGAATGTCACATCAGGGCTTGCTTTTGTGTTAGAGAATTAGAGGCAGTAACACTGATCAGATAGTGCAAACTAGGTAAAATTGCGGTTCACTGTGTGAAATAAACAGAGGTGCAAATGCTCAGTAGGATACCATTAAGACATAAAATGGCAAAAAATAAATATCAAAACTTTTATCAGTGTAAAAAAGTAATTGGGTTATTGTATAACCTAGAGTCTGGCAAAAAAAGGCCTCAAAAAAGTTCACGCAGTCTTCAGAAGTTCTACAAATTAAGTGCCTTTTCAAGATTCCAATTAGACAAGAGACTCCATGCTTTCTGCAGGATCTGGTTCATCATTGGCCATCACAGCTCCATTTTTGTCCAGTGTCATGGGACCATTTCCATTTTCCTTAGTGCTCACCAAGCTTAGCATTGCCTTATAAAGAAACTGGTACTGTTCCTGGAATGAAAAGGACATATGGTGTCAATCCCCATGCTTTTTAAGAGAAGGCATTTCTACTTTGCATTTCCAGTATAGCTGATCATGAACAGTTATCAAAATGAAACCAGTATTTTCTCATGAATGTGGGAGGGCCAGTGAAATCACCAATATGGTTGCAACAATTAAATGTGGTCCCGAAACACAGGAATAGGTCATGCCCAACTAATGCACTTCACAGGCATGCTGCCATGCTTTCAAATTTACTTTCATCTTGCCGTTTTCTCCACCCAGCCAGTGCTACCATATCTGGCAAGTATTCAAACTATAGAGTTAAAATCCTCCCATTTTCAGGGGACATAACGAGAACTGTTGTTACCATGTGAAAGCATTCAGAAGTTATAGAATATGAAGCATTATTTTTGTCAGTTGTGTAGGGTTTTTTAAATCAATTTCATGCATACAAATTTGGATGCTTAAGACAGCAAAGTCTGGTCATGGCTAAGGGCTCAATTCATCAATGCACTGCACTTCATTCACATTGTCTCCCTGCTGAATACACTTATAAAACACTGGGAATATTTTCTAGAAAGCACATATAATACTGTGGTAATCGGGGTTCCTTCCAATTACACCAGTTTCTTTTTTTCCTCCATTTCACATAACAGTGTATTTTTACCAATGCTGCAGAATTTATAAGCAATGATTATGTAAAATGACAGAAAGAATGACAGAGACTTCATGGCCTTTGTGCATATTGGCTCTGAGTATATAATGGCCACTAACTACGTAGCTAGGCTAGATGCTCAGATGGTACTTTGGGTGAAGGAGCCCAATATGGCTACCTGATTCTGGATCTTAGTCTGGGGGATACTCTGAACTACACCAACTTGCTATGGTTTGGGGCCACCAGACAAGGACAGCTGAAGTACAGTGTATTATGGCCAAGTCCCACCTCTATCCCCTACGCTGGGATAGCATCGATACCCCCAGAGACTCTGACACATTTTCAGTACAGAGGGATTGGATTGGGCCCTGGAACCAGGCCCCTTCTTTCACTAGGGCTCATTCTCTTTGGTTCTCCTGAAGCAGTAGTAGCAGATTATTTTCAGAATGGGTTTAATGTAGCGGGGAGTCTGGGTGGGTTCATCTTCACTGCACCCTTATTTTATAACATTACATAGCTTATTTCGAGGTAACTGCATTGCAGAGCTTATTTTTTCAAAATAGCTTATTTCAAAACAATTTGGAAATAAAGCGCTATTCCGACAAATCCTTTAACCCTTGTGGAATGAGGGTTACAGGGACACCGGAATAGCGTGCCCATTACTTATGTCGGATCCGCACTTTACGAACGGGGCTTTCTCGTCCCGGAGCTCGCAGGCAGTGGGACTGCCCAAAGCGCAGCGGTCCCGCCACCTCGACCTCCGGGGCAAGAAAAGCTGCTCTGGGTGCCCCTGGTCTGCTGGGGACCATCTCCAGCAGACCAGAGGCACCGGGAGCAAAGCCGCAGCGGCGGAGGGGTCCCGCGCCTCTCAGGCTTTGCCACAGCAAGGCCTCAGAGGCACGGGACCCCTCCGCCTCCCCGGCTTTGCTCCAGGTGTCCCTGGTCTGCTGGAGACCGTCTCCAGAAGACCAGGGAGACGGGGGGAAAGTCAGGTCTTCTTCAGTCCTCTGGGGCCTCCAGGGTTCTCGAAGATAATTACTAATGGTTCCAAGTTTGCAAGTTTGCTTCAGTTAATATCTTATGTAACCAGGATGAATTTCATCAGGTACTACTAACTTGAATCTACCTAATTTATCACAATATTCTTTAATCTGTTATTTTCCTATTTTGTCTTGGGTTCTTCCCTCGTGTTGTGAATAATTGTATTAAATATCTGGTCACCATTAATCTTTTTAATGAAACCTGAAGCATAATAGGCATTAAACCTCCCAGACCTTCTTGATGTCATCAGATCTTCTTCCTCACTAAGCAGACTAACACTTTCTGATGTCTTCCTCATGCTCCTAACATTTTTAAAGATCTCTTCTTATTACTGCTTATACAGGCAGTCCCCGCAGTTACGAACGGGGCCCTTCCTCTCCCTGGTCTCCAGCAGACCACGGAGAGGAAGCAAAGCGGTGGAACACGCGGGCAGCGGACAGGGTTATCCGCTGCCCACGCGCTCCGCGGCTTGGCTCTGCTTTGTTCCTGTAGTCAGCTGGTGGTCAGTTTCAGCAGCGGCTGAATCTGGACGCCAGTTCCGACTTACATACAGATTCAACTTAAGAACAAACCTACAGTCCCTATCTTGTACGTAACCCGGGGACTGCCTGTATTTTGAAATAATGGCGCTTTTAAAGATGCAGATACCTACAGTATCCCAGAATAGCCCAGCTCTCTAGATGTAGCCTGTGAGAGCTGGTGGTCAGTTTCAGCAGCGGCTGAATCTGGACGCCAGTTCCGACTTACATACAGATTCAACTTAAGAACAAACCTACAGTCCCTATCTTGTACGTAACCCGGGGACTGCCTGTATTTTGAAATAATGGCGCTTTTAAAGATGCAGATACCTACAGTATCCCAGAATAGCCCAGCTCTCTAGATGTAGCCTGTGAGAGCCTTGTAGCTGCATGAAAACACAAAGATACCCATTAAGCAACTTCCACTGCTTGACAGTAAAGGCATCAAGGCAAATGGACACCATGTTGGGTGAGGGATTTAATTCGAGTTTTACTTGTCAGCACAAGACTTATAAAGGACCAGTTTGATCCTTCACGGAAAGACTTACAATGTCCGTAAATACTCCAGGCCGCATAAGATTGATCATCTTTGCCACTTGGAAAACATCAACAGCATTTTCGTTCTCCAGCTGCTGGGACAGGGTGGTCAGGGCACACAGCGTTCCGGCTGACACAGCTCCATACCTGCAAACCATAACACCACCTTGTTCAGATGTGCAGAGGTGAACTGGGTGTGTTTGCAAACTGCCACAGAGCATGGCTCGAGGCTTACCCAAGTGCTACATATATGGTTTCCTTTATTTTTTAGAAATATTACATGTTCTATTCTAGATGGGCGAACAAGTCATTTGTAACCATTTTAATAAAAAAGCAGCATTAACCATGCTCTTGCTATCTTGAGCTAACTGCCGTTTCTCAGACAAAAGAATCATACCCAAATAATGTGAACCCTTTAAAAATACCCCACTTGGATGGCACAAAAGCAGAGTTACTTTTCATGTTCTTTTTGTGTAGCAGTGTTTCCATTATGTTGGAGCATATTTTATAGTATGTTTATGGGAACTCAAGCAAACCATACACCATTACAACAAAAACGAGGCTTAGTTCTTCCTCCTCCTCTGACAATTATGTAAGACAGTCTAACTCGGATGCTAAGTGGCCATGAGTCAATGACAAACATCTCATTAACACCCTTCTAAGGGGCTATGTCTTGTTTGTACGCAAATGGTTTAGCTCTTTATGGTGTGGCTCAAATACAAAGGCGTTTGAGAAATGCTACTGGGGCCAGTTCTACAGTAGGGGATAAGTTTGAATTAAATACGCAACTCCAGCTATGTTAACTGGACAGCTGAAGTCGACCCACCTTAATTTGAAGTTTGGCACTGTCCCCCCAGTGGGAGGTTGACTTCCCTTACTCCTTGCAAAAAGTCACAGTACTAGCGTCAATGAGGGTGCCCTCAGTGTTCAATTTAGTGGGTCTTTACTAGACCCGCTAAATCAAATGCCAGAAGACTGACCTCCAGACGTGGCCTGACACTGAGTCTCTGAGGCACCCAGTCAGAATTTTACCAAGGATTTGTGGCTCGAGAGCAATGTGGAATTTGTTGGTGTCAGGTAAAACGTCCATTCCAGGGATTGCTGGTATGCTGCTAGCTCCAGCCATGTCCATGGCAATAAGCTCACGGCAAAGAAATGCAAAAATGAGGTTAGAAGAATATTAAGGGTGCAAAGGATTCAAGCCAACTTTGAGTCTGCCTCCCCTTCCATGTTTGTATTGCAATATGGTCTTTAATTCCAGGACTACAAGTTATTATTTCCACGGGTTTCAGCCTCATTTCAATACGACGAAACGCAACACTGCCTCAACGTAGTGTATTTCTGACGACCACTGCAAACACAATTTGGCCAAAAGTGAGGTATCCTTGCCTTTGTCAGCACAGGCCTTTCCTTATTTACTTACCAGATGAGACAGGGCTCCTGTGAGAACTGACCATCTTCATGGATTAGAGATGACATAGGAGCCTAAAGGAGACACCTAAGTGCCCGTGTAAGGCACGAATGGGCTGGTTTTCAGAAAGGCTGATTACCTGCAGCTCTCAATATCCTGAATTGATGCTCAACATCTTGGACAATCAGACCACAAGATCCTTAATTTGGTGCCTAAATAGAGGCAGCCATGTTTGAAAATTTGCATATAAACAGTCAGTGTTTAACATGTGCTATAAAGGTGGAGTTCTAGAACTTTTTAGAAAGTTTCTTCATCAAGTTGTCTACCAAGTACCTCTTAAATCCCACTTGCTGTTAGTATTTGCAAATCCATACAATTGGGATTAATCTGCAGTTGTAATTATTAGTGGATTATTGGATGCGGCTGTTGCACATACTAAAGAGAGATTTTCATTTTCAGCTACATTTGCTCAGCCTCCAAATCAAAGGTGCAATACACATTATATACTAGGCATAAAAATAAAAATCACTGACTACGACAAATAAGCCAAAAAAGCAATTTACAGAAGAATAACTCAGCACTTTTTGAAGCGCAGTTTTGAGGATTTGTTTTAGGCTTTTTTTTTTTCTGGGATGGAGAAGGAGAGGGGAGTCTAGCCTGAAATGCCCAAATCGATAATGGTTCTCATTTTGTACAGCACAATCTTGAATACTGCAAGAGCAGCAAAACTGCACTAGAGATTAGCCAAATCATTAATATTAATACTAATTCAACTCAAATTAATAAAAACTGCCCAAACCCCACAGAGCTTACACTATGCATTAGAGGCAGGCAGGGAGAAAATCCACTTGCCCCACCCAAACTATGCTTTGTAGAAGTTTGTCATGACAAACTATTGCAGTCACAACACAGGGATGTTAACAAAAAGGTTGCTTTGCAGCAGCAGAATGTTAAAAAGTGATTTTACATCTCAGTTATTAGCCTAGCTGTCCATGGCACAGTGTACGATAATGTTTTTGCAAACTAAGGACAACCTCAAAGATTTCCCCAGTAGCATTTCCCAGTGCTGGACACTGCCATGAATGTTTGCACAGCATCAGTAACAGTGACCGTGTGATGTAAAATTAGGACCCTCTATAATCAGCCTTTGAAATGTTACTGGGCACAGAAATGTTCGGTTGCTTTGCAAAACGACTTACGTGTGAGAAAGTAGCGATACCTCCTGTCCGAGGCGGGGAGGGGAAGAGGAGAAGAAGGGGAGTTTACGGCTCGCCCAGTTGATGTCAAAATGGCTACACAGAACAGTTTCAGGGAAGAGCAAAATAAACCCACTATAAACTAGGAACGTTAAACTGCATTTAATCAGCTAATCGAATAGTCGATGGAATTTCCATCAACTACTCGATTTATTGATAAGGGGAGAAACTGCAGAGCCACAGCGGGTGGCCAGGCATGTGTGGGGTATCAGCTGATTCCCAGCTTGCACCCGATCCCAGATGCTGTGCCTCTACTTTTAAAATGTATTAAGAGTCACTAGGTGCTTGGAGGAGCCACCAGGCTCTTAATACATTTAAAAAGAAGAGGTGCAACCAGGGGATCGGACACAAGTCGAGACAGCTGATTCCCAGTATAAACCCTGGTGTAGATCATCCTTGTAGATGTCTATCCAATCTGCTCTTAAATATCTCCAGTGATGGAGATTCTACAACCTCCCTATGCAATTTATTCCAATATTTAACCACCCCAACAGGAAGTTTTTCCCAATGTCCATCCTAAACCTCCCATGCTGAAGTTTAAGCCCATTGCTTCTTGTCCTATCCTCAGAGACCAAAGAGAAATTTTTTTCTCCCTCCTCTTTGGAACACCCTTTTAGGTACTTGAAAACTGCTACCATGTCCCCTCTCAGTCTTCTCTTTTCTAAACTAAACAAGCCCAATTCTTTCAGTCTTCCCTCATGAGTCATGTTTTCTAGGCCTTTAATCATTTTTGTTGCTCTTCTCTGGACCTTCTTCAGTTTTTCCACATTGCTCTTGAAATGTAGTGCCCAGAACTGGACACAATACTCCAACTGAGGCCTAATTAGTTCAGAGTAGAGTGGAAGAATGACTTCTTGTGTCTTGCTCACAATACTCCTGTTAATGCATCCTAGAATCATGTTGGCTTTTTTTGCAACAGTGTCACACCGTTGACTCGTATTTAGCTTGTGGTCCACTATGACCCCTAGATCCCTTTCAGCAGTACTCCTTCCAAGACAATCACTTCCCGTTCTGTGTGTGTGAAACTAATTGTTCTTAAGTGGAGCACTTTACATCTTGCACAAGAAGCTTTTTTTGGATGAGATCTTCTGAAAAAACTTCTTGCGATAGAGAGCGTCCACACTGCAAAAGACCATCGAAAAAGCAATGCGCTTTTTCGAAAGATAGTGTCCAGACTGCCTGAACGCTATCTCGCATGTAAGCAGTGATTGCTATGGACAGAATGGCTACCAGGGCACCTGTGCTTTTTCTTCTTCCCTCTTCTTCCGAAAAATCTCCCTCTTCCCCATCCACACACGTCTTTTTGCAAAAAAGCTCTTTCACAAAAAGGCTTCTTCCTCATAGAATGAGGATTACCAATTGAGCAAAAAGCCCTCTGTTTTTTCAATTTACTGTTCAAAGAACGCGCTTGCAGTGTGGACGTAACTCAAGTTTTATCGGAAAAATGGCCGTCTTTCCGAAAAAACTGTAGTTTAGACATAGTATAATCGAATAGTCGATGGAATTTCCATCAACTACTCGATTTATTGATAAGGGGAGAAACTGCAGAGCCACAGCGGGTGGCCAGGCATGTGTGGGGTATCAGCTGATTCCCAGCTTGCACCCGATCCCAGATGCTGTGCCTCTACTTTTAAAATGTATTAAGAGTCACTAGGTGCTTGGAGGAGCCACCAGGCTCTTAATACATTTAAAAAGAAGAGGTGCAACCAGGGGATCGGACACAAGTCGAGACAGCTGATTCCCAGTATAAACCCTGGTGTAGATCATCCTTGTAGATGTCTATCCAATCTGCTCTTAAATATCTCCAGTGATGGAGATTCTACAACCTCCCTATGCAATTTATTCCAATATTTAACCACCCCAACAGGAAGTTTTTCCCAATGTCCATCCTAAACCTCCCATGCTGAAGTTTAAGCCCATTGCTTCTTGTCCTATCCTCAGAGACCAAAGAGAAATTTTTTTCTCCCTCCTCTTTGGAACACCCTTTTAGGTACTTGAAAACTGCTACCATGTCCCCTCTCAGTCTTCTCTTTTCTAAACTAAACAAGCCCAATTCTTTCAGTCTTCCCTCATGAGTCATGTTTTCTAGGCCTTTAATCATTTTTGTTGCTCTTCTCTGGACCTTCTTCAGTTTTTCCACATTGCTCTTGAAATGTAGTGCCCAGAACTGGACACAATACTCCAACTGAGGCCTAATTAGTTCAGAGTAGAGTGGAAGAATGACTTCTTGTGTCTTGCTCACAATACTCCTGTTAATGCATCCTAGAATCATGTTGGCTTTTTTTGCAACAGTGTCACACCGTTGACTCGTATTTAGCTTGTGGTCCACTATGACCCCTAGATCCCTTTCAGCAGTACTCCTTCCAAGACAATCACTTCCCGTTCTGTGTGTGTGAAACTAATTGTTCTTAAGTGGAGCACTTTACATCTTGCACAAGAAGCTTTTTTTGGATGAGATCTTCTGAAAAAACTTCTTGCGATAGAGAGCGTCCACACTGCAAAAGACCATCGAAAAAGCAATGCGCTTTTTCGAAAGATAGTGTCCAGACTGCCTGAACGCTATCTCGCATGTAAGCAGTGATTGCTATGGACAGAATGGCTACCAGGGCACCTGTGCTTTTTCTTCTTCCCTCTTCTTCCGAAAAATCTCCCTCTTCCCCATCCACACACGTCTTTTTGCAAAAAAGCTCTTTCACAAAAAGGCTTCTTCCTCATAGAATGAGGATTACCAATTGAGCAAAAAGCCCTCTGTTTTTTCAATTTACTGTTCAAAGAACGCGCTTGCAGTGTGGACGTAACTCAAGTTTTATCGGAAAAATGGCCGTCTTTCCGAAAAAACTGTAGTTTAGACATAGTAATTGTGAACTGTTAATAAGTACTCTCTGAGAACGGTTATCCAGCCAGTTATGCACCCACCTTATAGTAACCCCAGTCTAGAGCAATCTAACTCTGCATGTAGAGAAGACCTGACCTCAGATTTTAGGGTCTTGCCTGAAAGCTCCAAACATAATAAACTGCATTAAACTCAATGTATTTACCTTTGAAACATGATGATAACTGGTTGCAAGTTAGGGAGTACTTTGATCTTGGCGCTTAGCCCATGAAAACCCACCCCCTCCAGATGAGCGAGGACATTTTCCTCCATCTACCCCTTTATCCAGTGTACTATTTCTTCTGCAACCTGTACGTAAATGAGAAAAGGCAGATGACATACTCATCGTGAACAATGGTGGGGCCATCCCTTGTTAAGGCCTCTTCCTTGATTACATTGATAAGTTCAAAGGTGCTGCTTATGGGGGCATCTGGGTTTGGCCATTTGGGACACTGAAAGTGGCGTACTTCCAGAACGTAGTCATCCTGAAATGAAAAGCCATCCTGTTGTTAGCCACTGTAACGCCACGTTCATACACTGAAGAATGCTGAGGTTTTATAGAATGACATTCCTCCCCATTCTGTTTGCCAATGAAAGAAACGAGAAGGGCCAGAAATGGAAATAGGAGTCTCATCTCAGGCAGGTGGGTAGCAACGATGGTATACACGTATGTGTGTATCATCCACACCTATGTGTCCCTAGCCTGTCTCTGCACCCCACACCACTGCATAGCCAGACAGGCTGGCCCACAGGCAGGGGCAGAAGAGAGATGCACAGCCCTTGTGTCCCAGATCTCTCTCTGAGTACCTGACTATGGAACCGACACTTTGTCTCTCTTCGAAGGATGGCATTAACCATGGTGCTCTTACAGAAGGAGAAAGCACAGCTGGCCAGCCAGCTGCAGCCCTTTCTTCTCCAGTTTCCAGCAGTGACTAATTGCAGCTGCTTTTATGGCCCTCTTGGGCCCCAATCGGCTGCTTTCCTTGCACGCACTCTAACCTGCTTGGAGGACCTTTCCAGGGATAGGTATGGCAAAACCATGAGGTTTCCAGTAGGGAGTCTTTGGGCGTAGGCCACTGCATTGCAAGACCCCTAGTACACTTTGAAAAGAGGTATGGAGCAAATAGTCTGCAGACCCGCAGGGATGCATGTACCACAGGTTGAGAACCACCAAGTTAGATCATAGAGCTCTTGGTGCTCCAGTTTATAGAGAGGACCAGGGTGTGTTGGTGTGTAGCATTTCTAGATGGGCTTCCATACAGGTTTTTTATACTAAGGTACAGCAAGTGCCTGTGTGATCCTTGCTCCTGCCTGATGGTAACACAATGCCACCTTCTCCCTGAATGCTGTGGAGGAACATCCTGCCTGCTGGACAATGCTCCTCTCCATCTCAGAGCCCACTGGCCATAAAGCCCTATGAGAAGCCACTTAGCTGCACAGAACCCTCCCCTGCACTCTGGCAGGCCATGTGTGTACTCAGCTATTCAATGGCTCTATTGTTGCCCATGCAGGAGTCAGTGAGGTCTGGGTGAATGCAGAGCTCAGCCAAGCTATGCAGCTCCGGCCTCTCTCAAGTTCCAGGAAGCCAAGTTTTGGTCCACAATTAATAATTTTGAATATATTTATACAATTAACTATGTTCCATTTCAATTCAGGGCCCACCTTCACATAGGTCTTTCTCTTCAGCGCCTCTCCCATTCAAAGGACAGCTCGTCAAACAAGAGAGGAGCAACTAAACATATCCAAACTAAAAAGGCTACCAAAGACAGGTATCAACATCTTCTCTGCAGCTAAATATACCTGCCATTGTAACCAAAGTCAAAGAACAGGCGTTCTCATACCATATAAATGTGGTTTAGCAAATCCAGAGCCAACAAGTTGGCTTCAAAACAGTTCATTTAGAAAATGTGAATTTCTAAAAGGGAAAATGAGACAGTGAATCTCAATGTCTTTTAAAAAATAAGTCATGTCAACCAATGTGACTGCTGCATGAAAAGCAAACCTCCTCACTCTTGAATCAGATAAGCAGAGATGAAATGCTCTAGCTCAGCCATCTACAGAACTGGAAGGCTGATAAGCAATCTTCCTGGAAATGAAACACTTGGAAAGTCAACTCTTGGGGAGTGAGAAGGAAAAGAAAATGGTAGCTGTAAATGACAGAATATTTTTTGCAAATTCTGTCTCATTGAAAGTTGAACTGATGGCAATAACACACTGTATGAAAGGCCTGGTCCAAATGATCTTATGTTGGGGGCAGGGGCGAGGGGAGGTTCTCTTTACCTGGGTAGCTTCAAGGATGAAATCATGGATGATAATTTGCTCTTCGTTAGAGAGGCACAGTCTGTCTCTGCTGATAAGGGTCACGGTAAAAGTCTCACAGTTCATGGATTCCTCGCGACTTGGCCAGTACACAAACTCATCTTCTGCCTGGGGAAATGAAACAAACCGATCACTGCAGTCTTCCAAATTGCTTATTATGTATCGCTGAAAAATCCAGTGGATCCAAAACCTGATTTGATAGCTAGCTATGACCAGAAACTGATCTTTCAAAACTGCTTGTGTCTAAAAGAGATTCATTACAGTACTCAACAAGCCTCAAGTATCCCTCTGTGGCCTCCCAAATAATTCAAGTCTGCTTTTTAATTGGTTTCACAGGGAAATGATTATTTTAGTTAACTTAGACTTAACCTTTATGCAGACACAATCTTTCCCAAACTAGACCACCTGCTGTCTACCCATTACTCCCTTTCTTTTGCAGTCAGGCCAGGAACCTGTTTAGAAACACTCAGTGAACTTTAGAAATTGTTTGCTATTGTCTTTAATTATTATCTCGCTGTCAGGGGAGAGATTCTCACAGCTTTACTGTGCTTTGGATCAGCCGCTGATAGAACACTCATGGTTGTCATATCTAGGTGTTGACTGAAAAAAAGAAACACAAACATTCCTAGCCCTGAGGAAAACAGGTCAGCTTACTTCTGTGTAAACTTTATTCTGCTGAAAAAACCATCTACCGAAGGAGCAACAGTAAATTCTAAGTAAGGATAGCTCACTGATGGGAGGAAGAGGGTGGAAGGATTCAGAGTTTCGGTACTTTTACTGAGTAATCAGCTGTGGATTATACTCTCAAGAAAGTATCTTTGAAAAAAGAATCAGGCATCCTAAGGCACTGGTCCAAAGAATGGAAGGAATAGTAGACCCAAGGTCCATGCCTGGTCTTGGATTTAAAGACATATGGGAGGCTGGCAAGAGCACAGAAGCTAATTGGACAGACTACATGGCATTACTTGTCTGTGTCTCTGAGGACAAGATCAGCAATTTGTTTTTCCTTTTGAAAGAACATGAGCCGTTATCTTCCGCAGCTACGAATCTATTGTCTCCCTCTGTGGCCAAGGGCAAGACTTTTGATGACGCTTTTGTTCCCACGTGCTTATGGGATTTAGGCTGGTCCTGCACTCACATCTGAAAATGTCTCCCTCAATCCACAGCAGTGGTTCCTGAAGTGTGGTCCGCAGGCTCGGGGCTTGCCCTACCCCTGCAGTGGAGAGCCTGCTCTGCTGCTTCAGCGTTATGCCCCATCTCACAGCAAAGTTGGCGCGCCAGCTTCATGCCATGAGGTAGGGGAGAGAAGTGAGCCCCACAGGCTGGATCCAGCTTGTGGGGAAAGGAAGCAGCTTTGCATGTTGTCACTCCCCTCTGCCCCCCAGCAGGGGGAACTGTCACCTGGAGGCTTTCCCCGCTGTTCCCACTGGTTGGAATTATGGCCAGCAGAAGCAGGGGGGGCAGTGCCTGGGAGCAGCAGGAGGCATGGAGCCAGTTAAGTGCCTCCCACCAAGACCCAGTGTTCCCACCCTGTTCCTGCACCCAACCTCCTGGCCAGACCCCCACTCCCAGTCCACTCTTGCACCCTATCTTTTGGCTAGACCCTGCACCTCCCCCACACTGCCTGCACCCATTTTGTCATCATGAGAGGCTGGCTGTTGATCTGCAAAAAGGTCTGCATTGAGCAGGGCAGGCTGTGGGCCAAAGTTTGAGCACCTCTGGTCTATAGAAGCGTATTCCAACAGTTCATAGTGATTTCACCCTTCTTCCTCAGACTGAGCTCACTCAACACAGCCATCAGTCTGCACTGTCATTCTTTCAGTGTCCGGCCCATAGGCACGAATTTCTGGGTGTGCCTTGCTTCTTTGTAAATGTGGCCTGCAAGGGTGTGAACGTACCTGCCATGGTCTCGCAAGTAAGTGGGGAAATCAGCCCCAGCCTTCCCCTGGCTGGTCAGAGCATTGGGGAGGAAGGGTTAGGCAGTGTGCTGCTCCTGACTTCCCCCGGCTGGCCAGAGCACGCTTAGTTGGAAGACCACGAGGATGCGTTTGCACCCTTCGCACCCCCCCTCCCCCGTACGTACACGCCTGAGCGCTCTATGTTTGACTTCACCCACATGGACATTAACCATATCACAGAGTTTATGCCAATTTCTGGTGCCTGTTTCCAGGGCAACCCCCTCTACCCGCAACACAACTGAGGCAGAATCCAGCACCGTGTGCCTGCCAAGACGAGTTGCAAGGTATTTTCATATCGAGCCAGGAGTCACCTCTCCCATAGTCAGAACTGGTCAGCAGCCTTGCTTTCTGTGTTTTTAAAGGCTGGATCATCCTCTTCATTTTCACCGGACACATTCTCTCTTCATCTGTTCTTTTCCATTTGGCAGCACTTAGCTAAAATGCTTTCCCTTGGAATACCTGCTGATTGTCTTGAACCTCACTGCGCTGAAGAGGAGTACACAACCCTCACAACCTCTCTTTCCTTGGAACGAAGGCCATTCGCAGCCCTCACAACCTCTCTTGGAACGAAGGCCATTGTTTCCATGCCAATCTCAGCCACACGCCATTCACTTTTAGTCAGGCGCATATGAAAATAAATCCACTGCTCAGGCCTGAATCCCTTTCAGCACTCATTCTTCTTAAGCCTCTGCCAGTTAACCTGAAAGCTAGCATTAACACTTCACCCCTCTCACCTCCAGCACTTCAATTTTCTCTTTTATTTCCATCGGCACATACAACCACAACTGCTTTCGCCTTAATCAGAAACCATGTATTTATCCTCTCTTTGGTGTCCTTAACCCAAGGTCCCGTGCCCCCAGCAAACTAATTGCCTCTGTTACCACTTGATGGCCTTAACCTTCGCTTCTGGCACACAAATATCTTCACAGTCCCCACCCTTCATCACACAGGGCACAAACACACAGCAGTGAGGCATAAACAATCATTTTTGCTCTGCTCAGAGTGTGTTGTATGGTCTCCTTCAGTTCATTAGTAACTCAGTCCTGGCAGAGTACACTAGGCAGGCCCACCGATGGGCAGGGCAAAAGGGACAGTTGCCCTGGGGAACAGCGATTCAGAAGGGCCTGGGGCTCCCTGCTACAGCAAGGCGGCAGCTGGAACCCTGGGCCCTTTAAATCGCCGCTGGAGGGCTACACCACATGTTCCAGGCAGCTGCTCAAGGCTTGCTGGGGGAGGGCAGGGACCAGGGTGGCTCACTCCAGGAAGCACTAATGGCTGGCTGGGATGGGGGGAGGGGAGAGTAGAAGGGAGGGTGTGACACGGCCCGCTCTGAGCAGCGCTGAGTGCGGCTGCCTCCCAGACGTGCCCCTTCCACCTGAGGCCCTGCCCTTTCCAGGAGTGGAGCCGTCTCCCCCCACCTTGCCCAGGGGCCCAACAAATGTGTCAGCCCCACTGACACTAGTTGATGTTACCTATCCCCTCTAGGTTGAACCTTTCTAGTCCGGCACCCTCGGGACCTGACTGGTGCCAGACCAGAGAATTTCCCGGACTATGGGAGGTCAACATTGTCCAGCAGCATTACCAACATTTCCACAGCTGACTGGGCTCTTACAAGACATTGAGGGGCAAATTAGAGCTAAATAACGGCACAGAACACTGAGAGCCCGGACAGGTGGCTGTAAGAAATCTTTATGGGTGTCATGGCTCCTTCCCCACTCTGGCATGATAAATGCAGAAGTGGGGGCCAGCAAGTGTACCCCAAAGCCTTATCTACCAGGCTTTGGTATAAAACTTCCCCCAAAATCTTAAAAACCTAGATCTTGGGAATAACTTCCGCTGCCACCACCCAAATGTTGATAAAGAAATCAGGGGGAAGATCATTTGGGAAATCTCACCCCTCAAATAAAAATCAAGGCACACAATTAACCACTGCCAGGTTAATAAAAAGAAAAGAAAAAACTTTTATTATTACAACAATATTCCTGTTGCAAACATAATGACTAGATAGGGAGGTAACAAAATATACTCATGGAGAAACTCCATGGGCCTAGAACTTAGTTACAAAGAAAAGCCAAAACATCTTTTAAGCAGTGCCAGATCTCAGATCCCATACCCAATCCTTAAAACAATAAAACCTAACGAAACTACCTAAACTTTACCCTACTTACAGAAAATGAAGAATGGTGTCTTGGAGAGAGAGAGAGACATGCTTGTCCCTCTCTGTAGCTGCAGAGAACTCTTCCCGAGAGACAAAAGGAGAAAGGAAAAAACCCAAATTCCTTTGTCCCAGGTTGAAAGTCCCACCTACATTCCTACTGGTCACTCCACCTGGCTAGGTGTAGTTAACCCCTTAATCCCCAGGCTGCTGGCTAACCCTCATAATCATGACAATGGGACCCCGTGGAAACTTGGCCTCACCCATGATAAGTGGACATCTGGCTCACTCAAATCATGCCGGGCCACGGATGTTGCCAGACTAGAGCGTGCCGGACTAGAGAGGTTCAACCTGTATTAGATTTAACAGAAAGCAGCGACATGTTTGACTCTAACAAGTTTGTCGCATGAACCCAGGTTTATGCGTATGGCTCAAAAATAGCTACATTTGTAACAGAACCATAACCACATACATGAGTGACCCAATTCCTGCACACTGCTGTGCTCTGTAATTAAAGTATAGGATATAGGTAGTTACGTGTAAACACAGCAAGGAGCCGGTGGCACTTTAAAGACTAACACATTTATCAGTGTATTAGGGCATCAGCTTTCAGCACTTACCAAGCTCTGGTTGTCTGGCAGCATGACAATGATCTGCGCATTGTGATCCCAGATCATCCGCCAAAAGTCTTTAGTTGTGTGTGGAAGAGGATGCTGGGTTATGATGAACTCATTGCTCCTGAAGTAACCCTTATAAAGCAAAGACAAAACCACACAGTCCCTTATTGACACAGTACTTTTAAAACGTTAGGGTTTATTTATGGGAAGGGATCATGTTGTTTCAACTCCCACTGAAAACATCCAAGACAACTCTAATTTTTTCCGGTGCTATTATTAATATTTCTACACTTTCACTCTGAGTACACTTCCTCTTTTCAGAGTCCCTGTGGTTTTCATTTACTCCTAAGGCTCACATTTATTGGAGTGCATGCAATGGAAATATTCATTCCATAAAAAAATGTTTTGCATAATTTAAATATTTTAGACAATGAAATTTGACATTATGGAACTGTGTGAAAACTTCATCTTTCATACTCAACCATTATAAGCAAAGACAATTGTAGGACTCTGGTATTCAGGACCTTTCGGTTGATTTTGCTCTATAATTAAGTGCAGTTTTTCTCACCATGATATAAGAGGCATTAATGTAATCAGTTCCCTTCATTCCAGGCAGTGGTGCGAGACCCACCCTAGCACGTTCAGCTAGAAGATGAAAAAAAATGATCACAGTCTGGTCATG